GGTACAAAACGGTATTACCGAAAATTCAGTATTTTGTGTGTTTTTGTACCGTACCTAAGGCCGGTAACCGGTAATACCGGTATTACCGGCCGGTACGGTACGGTTTTTTAAACACTGTATGAAAGTACACAAAATATTATATTGTAAAAACTTTTTGTTCAAGTTATTATTTTAAAATCAAGATTATATTTATTATCTGATTACGCAATTGTTTTCTAAATAAAATATTTTTTTAATGTCTTAGTAAAATTTCTTAAAATTACATAAGCAATTATTATAATAAATTTAATATTTTTCAACTAAATATTTGAACATGATTCCTTAAAAATTACATTATTTATTAAATTTCATGCAATTAATATAGTGAATCGTATACAATCAAATCATTATCTACTATTTAGTTTAACAAATGGCCAAATTTTAAAACATAATACTATTATCTAACTTATAATTTTAATATTATATGCATAAATATAACTTATAATACTCTATGTTTTTAAATATAATACTATTATCTAATTTATAATTTAAATATTATATGCATATAAATAATTTATAGTATTTATTTAAATTTGTGCAAATGCACATGGTTTAATATTATATGCATAAATATAACTTATAGTACTCTATGTTTTTTATTATGACAAAAACAATTACAATCTATATTAATTGAGGAATAATTATATTGTTTTATTATATCATATGATATTTACTATTAAATTGTTATTTTACACTAAATGATATAAAAAGTTGCATAAAAAAAATATATGTATTGTAAAAAAAATTGTTCAAGTTATTTATTCTAGAATCAGTATTATATTATTTTATCAGATTAAGCGATTGTTTTTAAAATAACATAATTTATTTTAATGTCATAGTAAATTTCTTAAAATCACATAAGAAATTGTTATAATAAATTTAATATTTTTAAGCTATTAATTGGTCATGATCCCTCTAAATTGTTAAAAAATTATATTATTTATTACATTTTATACCATCAATATAGTGATTCATATGCAAACAAAACAATATGTATTATTTACTTTACCCAGTTATCAAATTTTAAAACATTACCAGTAGCTAACTTATAATTTTAATATAATGCATAAATATAACTTATAAAACTCTATATATATGTTTAAAATATAATATCATTATCTAATTTATAATTTTATTATTATATACATACAAATAACTTATATTATTTTATTTACATATGTGCAAATGCACATGGTGCAATGCTACTATAATTAATATTTAATAATAATTAATAATCATTTAATTAATAATAAATGAGTTAATGTAATAAACATTTTAAAATAAATAGATTATGAAAATACATGAAACCAAACGGGAGTAGTAAGTGGTGTATATTCATCATTCATTAAGTCCATTTATTACTAATGGAATCGTGTATGGAGGCTTCTGAGTACTCCCATTCCTGAATGGAAAAAAAGATACGAATATTGGTAAAATGTTATCAAGATTAGGATTCATATTTGAACACATTACATGGTATGGGCTCTAATAATAACAATAAATTCTTTATTTCTAAGCAGAGCTCATTGTCTTTTAGATATTGTCAAAGAGGAAAAAAACTTGGCATGAGAGATGTAGCTTGATAATTGTTCGAGCTTCTCGAGTACGAATGGGGCAAAATCGGTCAACAAGCCTAAAAAAAGACCGATTGACCGAAAATGCAAAACTGGTTCATGTTGGAATTTGGTTTTCCAGAAAAAGAATAATAGTATCATCACTTTCTTTAGCAAAACAATAGAGACAACAATTAAATGTGGTAAAACATATATAGTTGAATGTAACTAATAGTTGGGCATGACTTTGACAATAGATATGGCCGAACATGTGTATAGATTATCAAGATTACAATTGAATTTCAACGATAAATGTTTAATTGTGTTGTTTTATCGATCCTATCCTATGTTCTCAAAGTTCCTAAGGGGAAATGTTCGGGGAAAATTTTGTCTAGATGGCCAACAAACGTCGCATATCGTGAACTTTCCTTTTTCTTGACATAGTGATGGGTTCATATTATTGTGGACGTAATCCTATCAAGTTTAGCAATTGTGCTCAAAGAGTTGAACAATGGACATGGTTGGACATGACTTGACAATGGAAAGCATCATGTATCGAAAATTGGATATTATAAACATAAAATTAGACACAACAAAGATACCCATAGTCCGTTGATACTGGCGGATAATCAGTCTTCAGTTGGTTTCCTCCGCAAAGGAGCTCCCGATCACCTGAGGATATCTTCCGTAATGTCTTCCACACTTAAGTTAATAAAAAGGTTCTTAATTTGCAGACAAAGTCAAAACTCACCCTTTAATTTACCTTACGTGTATCCTTTAATCGAGCTTTAGAACAGATCTCCGAGATTTGAGGGGGTTTAATTCCCTCAGATCTCGATGACAATGCTTAATGTCTGCCATAGGATCTTCTCAACCTTAGAGGACTAGATTGATGCCTATATAATCGACTGGAAGACTTACATTAGCTCGACATCAAGGATAATTTCTTCAACAATTCGATGACATGATATGATCATTTGCACTCATGCTCGACAGAACCCAAGTTGAACATCTTTGGACCTTTTTGTCGAGCTACGATCAATGCGACTTGTTCTTTCGTCGACCTTTCTCTAAGAGCACCCACAATGCTGTGGGTCCAATTCTATATATGTGCCATATAATTGGACTTAAGTCCTAATGACATGGATAAATCCAAGTAAAATAAATCAAAAACCTTTCCAGTGGAAAAATAAAAGACTATGTCTAGAATAAATGTCAACCAATTAAAACAAGCATAAACAAAAAAATATAAATAATTGCTGACTAGTCAGGTTTGTACTTGAGTGTAAAATAGACCCAAAGGTAGGGGGGCTTGGTCTCAACTAGACTAGGTCTACTTTTAATTGCATTGAAGACATTTTATTATAGACTAGGTTTAATTTCTACAAAGCATATGATATTTTTGTAAGAGACCCAAAGTATTGTGGGCGCTCTAAGGCCACTTGAGTCGAGCTTATCAGTTTGCCACGGCACCGTGATTTTCGAGCTAGTATGTAATTAGTGGCGAAACCAGGATCCCGTTTCGGGGAGGGCCCAATTTTCCTTTAAAACAATTTCACGACAAAACCAACACAAACACAATTTTTTTTCCGATCCAGCTTCCCCTCCATAGCTCCATGCCTCCCTGCTCAGCTGCTATGTGTTTTCAAATTCCGGATTTCTGGTGGCGCCCCTCCGACCATCCCTCGGCGCACCACCCCCACTCCGGCATCGAAATAGCGCTCAAAGGGCCCTTCCAGTTCCAGCAAAACCCCCCACACCTAGTTCAATTTTTTTTTTTGGAGGGGCCGACGCTTCTCCGATGGACCATGTGGTTTTGCCCCTGTATGTAATGCTATATTTAGTTTTATCCAAAAAGACAAAAATATCCTTACCATAAAAATGTAATATTTAGCTTGGCGCCACAATGAAAATCGCCTAAACAGAAATTACAATTCAAAATATTTTTTATTGGTTGACGTTAAGTGTGTTTGGTTCAATGGAGGGGAAGGGAGGGAAGGGTTTTTAATGGGAAGAGAGGGGAAGTGAGGTGATGTAAAATAATATTATCTTGTTTGGAGGGAATATTTAGGAGGGGGAGAGAAAATGATAAACTTTGTTTGGTTAAAACATTAAAGGAAGGGAAAATAAAATTAAAATGACAAACTTACCCTTAATGTAATAACATAAAAAAATTTAAAACAATTGAAAATAAGGACTAAATGGTCATTTTACATGCTATTAAAACACTTTCCCTCCAAATCCCTCCAATTTTGGAGGGGAGAAAATGTAAAGGAGGGGAGGAAAAATCACTTAAAATTTTCCTCTCCCTCCCCTTCTAATTTTGCAACCAAACAAGGGAAAACTAAAATTTCCCATCCCCTCCCCTTTCCTCCCCTCCAAATCCCTCAAACCAAACACTAGCTAAAGCGAGTACTTTTGCTCTGCTCCACTTATATTCAGAATGAACGCACTGCTTTTTTTTTAAAAAAAAAAAAAATCCTTAATTTTTTTC